CCATAGCAGGGGGTGGGACTGGATGAGCTTTAAGGTCCCTTCCAACCCAAACCATTCTGTGACTCTATGACTTAACAATTTTATGTGTATTTTATGAAGGACTGAGAAGTGATGTGACAGTTCTGGGTGATGCTGACATCTCAGTAATCACCAGGATTTTGTCTCTGATTGTGTTTGTAACCTGGGATGAAAATAATTTCTCAGTACCTCCACCCTCTCATCTCTCAGGGCAGAACAGTGATGGAAACAGGGATGGCTCACTTGAGTTATCTGGTCTTACATATACCCCAGACCAGTCTGGTACTTAAATAAGAAGATTGGCGATTATTCCATAATAACTTAGTGCCAGGAAAATAGACAAGGGACACCTTAATAATCCCAGGGGGCAGCAGTGAACTCTGAAAACAGCCTGCAAAGTATGGATGGACACCTAAAAATGGTGGTTGCTGCTCCATACCTTCTCCAAACTGGAAGAACACCTTGAAGACATCAATTGGTGTCTGCTCTAAACCGAATGATGCAGCTAAAACTTGGTTGTGGCACTGCATGACTTCATCCTGCTCTTGGCAACTGGGAATTCAAGCACATTCAGCAGCCTCTGTAGGTATGTCCTTTGTTTGACTGATTTCTATAATAGTCACCCTTTTATGGGTTTTATATAAAATAAGTGTAATTACAAAGATCTGTTCCCATCAGTAAAACCAGTTTGAACTGTTTTGCAGGAATTTGAACTATTTCTTGTTAATCCACACACACACAGCTAATAAGGGAATGCAGGGGTTTTTTAATATCCTATTTATATCAGCATATGTCCTAAAGAAGTTTGGGATATTTCTGTATTTATAGTAAATCATAGCAGTGTGTAGCGTGAGGAAAGAGAAATCAGAGGGGGGGGAGAGTAAACCCTATTAATCTTTATAAGAGAAAACATGTCACATGTAATATCCTTGAGTTGCATCACCATCTGGTTTTTTTTTCTGAAGCCCTTGGAAGTGGTCCAGCAGATGGTAGGGCTGCTGGGGCTGGAACCTGCTCCCTCAAGCATGGTTAGATGTCTTCTGCTGCTTGCTGGGCCACAGCTGTGGGTTTGTGCACCAAAAACTCATCTCTTGCAAATGTTTTCTTCAGCTCAAAGTGAGAAGTCTGTGTCTGAACCCACTGTGCTTCTGCTAGAAGTGATTTGGAATTGTTTGGAGCCTTCCACTTGTGGTGGCTCTGCGGGATTCCAGGGGGGCTCTTCTGTTTGGGTCGGGGTTTTGTCATCATATAAAGTTGTCCTTTCCTGCTTGTACCTTTCCCTCAAAGTTTACCACTCTTGCTGGCTTGATATTCCCTCCTTTTTTGTTATCCTTCCCTTTTATTTCCCAACACGTGTGGAAAATAAGCTTTTGGAGAAGTCTAGCTCTGGGATGCTGCTCAAAGCCAGGGTCTCCAAAGCCCAGTGTGCAGCATTCCTGCTCTCACCTTGGCTGGGGAAATCCCATCCTGGGATGGAGAACTCAGCTGGCAGAGGATGGAGCTGACCTGAGTTACTGCAGCAGGAGTCAGAGGCTTTTCCCACAGGAAATCCAAGGAAAGGGAATATAAATGTTAGGAGGAGATCAGGTAACTTAAACATTTCAAGTCAGACCATAGCCTGCCCCAGAGCTTCAGTAGTTGGGCAAAAATAACCTCCCAGAGGGACTGATAAGCTTTGGAGAGACATTTCAGGAGCGACCAGTGACACCAGGTCACTTCAGTGACTTCTTGCTCTGAGACAGAAGATCCCCTCCAAGCCTGTGCTCCTTCCCAGGAGCCTTCTCATTTCCAACTGGATGGTCTTGGAGAGCAGTTCACACATGTGAGGACGTGCCAGTGCTGTCCTTGAAGCCCTGACAGGTCTTCTCCCTCCGTGCCCATCACCAGAGCCTTTCCCAGCGGTGCTTCCACCCTTTCCCAGCTTTGATGGCTCGCTTGACCCACTTCTTGACCATCCCAGGAGCCCTTCTGTGAAACTCTTCTCATTTCAGTTCACCTTTCTGCATTAGATGATCAGGGTTGGCTGAGTTGCTCCCAGGATTTTCACACCCGCTCCCTGAGGGGCAGCAGGATTTCCCCTTGTCTTCCAGAGGTGTTCCCATTCTAGGATGGTATTTCTGCCTTGCCTGGCTGAGTGACAGCAACTGAGCATGTGCTGGTGTTGTCCTGGGGAGCTCCACGATCCAGCAGAGCAGTTTATTATTTCCCATGTATATATATTTTATAGGACTATATATTTGGTATGACTGAACCTCATTCCATGCTTATTATCCTTCAAAGCCATCCAGCCTGTCCTCTCTGCTATCCCAGTCCTCTTCTGTATTAACAGTTCTGGTCCACTTCCCTCCCTCTGGCAAAGCTAAAACAAGGGAGTGAACAGAGCTGACAGCTCCTTCAGGGAGGAATTAGAGTTTAAATGTAGATTTAATTTCAGCTGAAAGACAGGAAATGTAGAAGGGGAATGGTCTTCCCTGGGTCTGGGGTCTGGTTTGACCTCAAAAGTATGCAGACAGCATGTGGAAAGGGGGTTGGAAGAAGGCAGGATTAGTGGGAATAAGGGTAGAAGTCCAGAAGGATAACTCTGCTTGGGTGGCTGTCATGTTTGATCCTGGCAGTCAGCACCAGGAGCTGGATCTCCAGGACATTCCTAATGGATGTGTAAAGGGATTCATGAGGAATGGGGGTGACACAGGAAAGGTGCACTTAAGGTTATTTCTATAAAGAAGGGCAGAGAGGTGCCAGGGAGCAGCTGAGGCCTTGGATTGCTTTCAGATCCCATCAGGACAGGATCAGGGACACCTTCCACTATCCCAGGTTGCTCTGAGCCCTGTCCAACCTGGCCTTGGACACTTCCAGGGATGGGGCATCCATTATATTATAACAATATTATTTGTGTTCAACCACTGCAGCATTTAACAAGCTTTACTGCTTAAATATTGGGTTCTGGCCTCTGGAAAACCTGGCAGAAAGGATTTTTTAATTATAATTTTTCTCCTCTGCACAGCAATGTTTGGATAATGTGCATGAAGTCAAGTTTTTAAGCCTTGCGCCTCAGCACCTTTTGTTCTGAGGGAGCATTGATCTGAAATTTCCGTGGCCCTCAGCTTCTCAGACTCAATAATTTATTACCATTGTGGCCTAAATTGAGCAAGAGCTCATGAATTGAGCTCATTTTGAGCAAAAATGAGCAAAACTTCGTCTTCTGCTCCATGAGTCGAGCCTTCAGCTCCGCGCTGCAATTAAATCCCCCACCCTCGCTATTGGGAGGCAAACAGATGCAAACCCCAGAGAGTCAGAAGCTCCCAAGCCTAATAATGCTGGGGTTTTTTCCCCCCCCTCGTGTCAGGAGTATTCCCCGTGTTTGTCGAAAGCTTCACTTGCAGGGCCGTAACATCTCTCTCTGCCGTGCCTGGAACAGATGCGCGTGTTGTAATATGGACTGCGAACATTGACATCCCATGTGGTTCTCATTCCTCCCATTCATCTTTGAAGCTAATTGGTTGCAGGCAGCCCCGATGTGTCTGGCTGGCCGCAGCTATTTGTACTTTCACTCTGGTCGTGGCGCTAATGGTGTGATATATGGAACATGAAATAAACTCTCGTGACTCCGAGGGCTGCGCAGGCACAGGCGCGGCACTCCCCTCTCGCTGCCTTGGGCTGGGGGGCAGGGGGGGATTTTTAAAGGACTTTTTTTTTTCTTTTCTCCTCACTGGAAATGTTGTTAACCAGCTGGTGCCTCCAACGAGGGCTGGTGGAGCTCGGGAATGGCAAAAAAAGTGGAGCTCGTCTGCCCTGCCTAGGTCTTGCAGTTTGTCTGCTCGTGGTGGAGCTGCTGGTGTGGCTTCCTGGTGAGATCTGGGCCTGGCATTGCTGGAAACCCACGTGTTGTCCCGTCTGCCTGTTTTAATAGTGTGAAGATTGTAAAAGAATTAGATTGTAAAAAAATTGGATTAGCAGAAATAGTATTTTAAATCATAGAATCACAGAATGGTTTGAGTCGTAAGGGATCTTAAACTCATCTCGTTCCACCCCCTGCCATGGGCAGGGACACCTCCCACTAGCCCAGGTTCCTCCAAGCCCCGTCCAGCCTGTCCTTGGACACTTCCAGGGATCCAGGGGCAGCCACAGCTTCTCTGGGCAACCTGTGCCAGGGCTTCCCCACCCTCCCAGGGAAGGATTTCTTCCTAAAATTTATAGATAATGCCTTTTATAGATAATTCCATAATTTTCCCATGACTCAACGGCATAATGTAGGGAAATTATTATTCCTGTTAAAAAGGCATCAGTGATGTTGCCGGGTATTTCTCTGATCCTTCCCTCATCCTTCCTTTTACCAACCATGGAAAAATGGCACTTCTGTTGGGAATTTGCCTTTCTCCACCACCTCAGGCTCAAAGCAACCCTGTTACCTTCCATTCGTTATAATTCTATCTCAGTTAAAGGTGATTTCAGTCATCAACATGTGCTAAAACCTGGGTTTTAGAGGGATTTCACTGATGAACAGCGAGGGAATATTTGGGGAATTTTGCAGTTCATTCCCATCCGTGATTAATTCTTGGGGAAGCAATGGAACATGTTTCACACTTCAGACTGCTCAAAAAGTTCTGTCTTTTCTCAGCTTCACTATAAATATTTTCTCTTCATGCTAGGGAGCTTTGGGTTCCCATTGTTCAAAACAGCCAGTTCATAATAATTCTTTGCTTTTGTGTTTTTTTAGTATTTTGTTCTTATTTTTAAACAACTTGGCTCACAAGGAGTCGGCAGGGGGTTGGACCAGATGATCTTTAAAGATCCCTTCCAACCCAAGCCGCTCTGTGATGCTCTAATATTTGGGTTACTGCTCTCAGCTCAGACCATTCCAGTGCAGCTTCATGGGCCACAAACTCATCCATTGTCCACTTGGAAAATAAAATGGCAATGGGGATTTGCTCCACTGAAATGATCCCTGAATTTCACTAATTTTCTTCTTTTTTTCTTTGTAGGTTCAAGCTCAGTGAAAAACAAGAAAAAGGGTAAGTTTGAGTTTTAACTTAATTTTCCTTTCTGTGTTTGTCACCCAGCTGTGAGTTCTCTTTGGATAACACAAAGGAGAAACCAGCAGCAGCTTCCAGCACTGGGAGGGGCAGGGATAACACCCACAACACCCTTAAAACTTCCCTTAACACTGAAGGAAGTTAATTATGTTCTATAGAAGTAATCCTGAAGATGGTGTAATTAGAGAATGGAGTAGAATTGAGTCATGAACCAGCATCAGGAGCCACTTGCTGTTTGCCAGCCTTGGCTTTCATCCCGAGCCTGCCAACCAGCAGCCTGGGGTCCCCTTTACACTCACCAAACCCAACAGACACACTTTGCATCCCACTTTTCCTAACACCTATTGGTGGATTGCTGGGATTTGGGTTATTCAGGAGGCAGCCCTGTGTTTCTCGGATTGCTGATGCCATCCTTGTCTCTGTAGGACTCCTGGGGAACATTTAACACTACCAGGAGCTTGAGTGAGTCCCAGGATCCGAGTTGCTCCATCAGCTTTTCCTCGTAAACGCGCTGCAGTCTCAGTTCCAGGGAAATGCAGTCAGTTACCTGGTTTTGCCCCTTGTAACCATCCAAACGCTTCTGGGAGTGCTTTAAAAGCTCACAACAGGTTGTAGGTGACAACAGCTGCAATGGCAACTCTCTGCTTGCTACCTGTTGTAGCTAATGTGTATTTAATTAACAGAACAGTTAGTTGTTCAGCAATTCTCTGTGTCCCTCAAGAGCCCTTCCTGCTCCATCCCCACCATCAACAGCGGGAGCAGCCGAGCTTCCCATGTCTGTCCTACTGTAATAACACGTCCAATCACTTTAATCCTTGGATGCAAACTCCAGATGCACAGCTGGGAGGTGGAAACAGCCACAGTTAGAGACTTCGTTTGTACTGATTCTCAGAAGCAGCATAAAATTTTATGTTGGAGGAGTTTGTCCTAACAAAGCTCAGAAACCCTCAACCCACATTAAATCAGCCCAGCTAATAACAAGTGATGGCTGTGGCGTTCAGAGCAATTCCAGAGGGGCAGGGAGATCTCCTAGAGCTGTATTATATACAGCTGTATAAAATAGTTCAATTTTATGGTATTGTCACATTTAATTCTTTTTAGAGGTACAGCTTATTGTTTGCTGGGCAAGATTAATGAGAGCTCCCTGGTCCTGCCTGCTCTGCATTTCAGAGCCTGCCTGGTGTGTGGGTACAGACACCAGGAGACTTGGCAGGCTGCGATTTGGGTGCTGGGACCCTCCCTGGAGAGCTGATAGGGAGGCTGGGGTCCCCTCAGACAAACAAATCAAATATCTTTTGCCTTGTGAGTTTAATAAGTGAGATTTGCTAATGCAGAGAAATAGCTGAAATGACTCGGAGGAGGGGAACGCACAGAAAATGTGGGATGTGCAATTGTCTCACTGCTCAACCAGCAGCTCCCTTAGTAGCAGACCAGACTTCTGAGGCAGATGAGTTAAACCAGCTGTAATTTGTATCCCTCTTGGGAAGGAAAGCCAGGAGTGACAGCAGCAGCATTCCCGACTCCCTGCGTTCGATCCTCCCTTCGGATGGCCTGGATCGAGGGGTGTGAGTGAGAGGAGTTCAGTGTGTTTTAGGGGAAAGAGGTGATGGGTGTGATTCAGGGTGATCAATTCCAAGGCATATCATCAGCCCAAGGAAGGAAATCTCTGGATTAGGGGAAGGCTGGATTGTGACCAGCTTGGATTGGAAGTCGTGGCTGCTGATCTGGACAGAAATATTGCTGTGGAGATTTGTCCCCTTAAACCTTTCCCCTCCCTTTTTTTGGACACCAGTGTTATTTTACTCACCCTTCCTTACTTTAACTTAGTTTTCTGGATGTTTAAATTACCCACACAATTGTCCCACACTGATGTCCATGTGCCCATGTTCCTGGCTGATGGCCACCTAGAGATTTCCACCCCTGTCCTAACTAAAATAGATGGATTTCTCCTTATAGTTTTATCCCATTACAAAGATGGATATTAGTCGAGAAACAAGTACATAAATGTACTTGGAAACTATTCCAATAACCATAATTTCATATCCCAACTGCTGCTGTCATGTAGCAAAGTGTTTAATTCTGTCCTACTGGGGACTTTGTGGCAGCAATTGGAGTGATTTTGCTCCATTTATGCACTTTGGCATAAAAGCTGTTAAAAACTGGCATCTTAATAACTACATCAAAAGAACATAATTTCTGTTGGGGACCTGGAAAATCAGCTGAGGACAGGCCAGGCCTTCCCTGCAGACCTGGTTTTAGTCCACTTTGTATTTGTATGAGTAGTTACTGATGTGGTTGTGCCATTTCTCTTTCTGGGGCCACGTGATGTGTTTGAGGATCATTTTAAGGAAGAAGGTTTTTTTCCATGAGATTTATAAAATAACTGGCACAGGTTGCCCAGAGAAGCTGTGGCTGCCCCTGGATCCCTGGAAGTGTCCAAGGCCAGGTTGGACGGGGCAGGGTGTGGAAATGGATGATCTTTAAGGTCCCTTCCAACCCAAGCCATCCTGTGATTCCACGATTATAACAATTTCCCAGTGCTTCCATCTTCGTGGTGGGGTTAGTCCTTCTCTTACCCCTCCATCCAGAGCCCAACATATTTAATTATTTTGAGGCACAAGCAGCACAGGGGTTCCTCCAGCAACGCTGCAGCTCAGCTCTGAACTGCCCTCTGGAGGAGACCAAGCCGTGGGGATCATCTCCTAATCCTAGTGTGTAACAGGTAGGGAAGATTTCCACTGTTTTCCATCAACAAACGGAAAACTGAGAAACTGTGGAGTGGGTCACCTGGACTTTACCACTCCAGCCTTGGCTGGGTGTATTGGGGTGTCCATGGGTCATGGGGAGCATCCTGACTGTATCCAGAGAGTATCCCAGAGCCGTAGGGCCGTGACCAGCTCTGGGACACGCTGCCCCTGAGGGCATCCCCTGTCTGCTGCTCCCTGCAGGTCAAAGCCCACCCCACGTGCAGAAGGTAACACCTGACCTTGTGTTTTCCAGGAAAGAAGGCTGGTCCTCCAGGGCCCAACGGTCCCCAAGGGCCGCCAGGTCCTCCCGGGCCGCAGGGTCCCCCCGGCATTCCCGGCATCCCCGGGATTCCCGGCACAACCGTCATGGGACCGCCCGGCCCCCCTGGCCCGCCGGGCCCTCAGGGACCCCCCGGCCTGCAGGGCCCCTCAGGTGAGAGCTCTGTCCCTCCTCTGCTCGGAGCTGGGGACGCCGCCGGCGCGGGAGATGCCACACGGGAATAAAAGGGCTCCGTGTTCCCCCCGAGGAGTGTCCGGATGTGATGGGACGGCATCCTGGAGCAGGACTCGGGTGTCCTGGGTCAGGTTGGATGGGGCTTGGAGCAACCTGGTCTAGCGGAAGGTGGCGAGAGGTGGAACGAGATGAGCTTTAAGGTCCCTTCCCACCCAAACCAGTCTGTGATTCCATGATTCTTTGCATCAGGACCTGGAAGGCAGGAACCACAGCAGATTGCCACCCCTACCTTCCCTTCCCTCTCCTACCATCCAGAGAAAAGTGGTTTTCTCCTGCAGTTCTTGGTTCCATTTTTCTCCATTTCCCTATATCTGCACCACATTATTTCTCCACGGAGTTGTGTGGTGATTATTTTGCTAAAATCTATGAATTTAATAACTCCTTAAAATGCAGGTTAGTGGACATTCCCATCAGCAATGTTTGTTATATCTACATGAGCAGTTTAATATTAATAAACACGTCTCCAGAGATGTCAGAGCTATTACCCTGTAGCCCACATGGCTCAAGGGAAAACTTGGAGACTTCTCAGTTTTTATGTCAGAAATTGTGGAAGTTGTCCCTGCCCACCACAGGGGGTTGGAACTGGATGATCTTTAAGATCCCTTCCAACTCAAACCACTCTGGATTTCTGGGATTCTGTGATCCTTAATTGCCTGAGCAGAGGCAGGAGCAGCAGGAAGCCTCAGCTCCAGTATCCTGCCACAGGCATCTCCTCCTTAATAGGGGTTTGGCTCCCGGGGAAGGGAGATTTCAGCGTGGAGCTGGGATGCAATGAATGACCTGAGCTACTGCAGAGGGAAACTTGTCATCTTGGCAGCCAAGAGGCTTTTGGCCGCCACAGAGCAGGGAAAGGGTTGTGCAATTTTTCCTTCTAGTGGAAACTGGTTGAATAATGGTTGAATTTTTAATTTTGATGACAGAAATGCGGGATTAAAGTAGGGAAATGTAGGATGAATATTTGTCTTCTTTATGTATTTTTTATATGTTTTTAATATTTATATTTTGTATATTTTAATGTTGCCTGCACCCCATACTTGTGGTGCTGTCCTCCTCCTGTTAATGGGGGGTTACTGATTACTATGGGGTAAGAGAAGTTTTATTTCTGTGGGGGGTTTAATGGTTATTATGGGGTAAGAGGAGTTTTATTTGTGGGATTCTTCACTCAACCCTCTTCAACAACATGAAATTGCCTTTTGCAGGTGCCACAGACAAGGCCGGCTCCAGAGACATCCAGGTGGGTTGATCTTCCCAGGAAAAAGCCCAGCCTTGGGAGGGGTTTTTGTAAACATTTCCTGGCTACATTTGCTAATGCTGTGTTTGGTGTTTGCAGCCAGCTGTGGTCCACCTTCAAGGCCAAGGCTCAGCAATCCAAGTGAAGAATGGTAAGGATCTCTTGATATTGGTGGTTACTGGAAAGGGCTCATCCTGCACCCGTGACCTCATACCTGGGTCTAATTCCATCCCATAACAGGGCTCCCAGATTTTCCCTGCACCCATGGCCTCGTATCTAGGTCTCAGTGCATCCCATAACGCAGCTCCCAGATTTTCCCTGCTGTTATCCCCCAGGAGAGTCCAGTTCCCCTGCCCAGACTCCATGAGAAGAGTTTCCATTCCCGTTTCCCCTGAGCTCCTGTTTATCTCCCAGGTTATCCCTATCCTGTATATCCCAGTAATTCTGTCCCACTGAATCTCCCTCCTGACCTCCAGGTACATTTTGCGCCTCCTCCAACCTGCTGTTGTCCCACCAGTGTTCCCCAGCCCCTCGATGGCCAACCTTTCCTCCCCCCATTCCATTTTAATCCCTGAGCGTATCCTTGTCCTGCCTCATCCCCATTATCATGTGTTTCTCCAGTTTCCCAGTAGTTTAAGGCAGGGGAAGGCACAGTGGTGTGAGGACACAAAGGTGCCCAGGCCACCAGCTCTTCCTGGAACCCTTGAGCATCTCCACCCCCACCAACAGCCTTTAGACCATTATCCCAAGCCCTGCCGAGGCATTTCACATCCACAGGCAGCTCCTTGCTCTCCTCCTCCTCCCTGGATCCCCATCCAAGTTCTCCTCAAGTTCCTGCTCTCTTTGCCAACAGCTGGGGCTCATTCATTCCTGCTGCCTCCCTGCTCTGGCTGGGCTGGAGAGGAGCTGGATGTGTTGTCCCCTTTCTGAGTCCCCTTGTGCAGCTCCCTGGGGAGCACAGACAGCCCTGGGACATGTCCCCTCATCCCAGACTCCCAAGGGTGGGTGCAGCAGGATGGGGCTGCAGGACCCCGTCCATGAATTCCTGCCTGATACATGGGATGAGGTGGGAGGGCAGCTTCTCCCTCAGCAGCCATGAGAGTGGGAGCTGGAGTTTCTCTTGGATAGGGCAGTGTGCTTCCAGCTCCCCAAAACTCAAAGGAAACCATCCGTTCCCGGGAACAATATGAGGGAAAAGATGCCGTTTGCTTGCATTCAGAAAGCAATGATCCCTTTATTACTGGGAGTGCTGAGGGTTTACAGAGGGTGTGCTGCTGTCTAAGAGTGGGAATGCCCTGTGAGTGTCCTTCCCTGCTGCTTGGGAACAATCTGGTGCTGTGAGCCAGGAATTCTGTCCAGCTGCAGCCTGGCGGGCTCGGACGGGGGGCAGGGAGTGGAGAGGGAGGAAAAGAGTGGGATCTGATAAACTGAGGCACCTACAGAGGCTGGCTCAGTTCAGGGCTCACAGCGAAGTCTGTCCCCTGGGTCCATCCAGGGAGCAGAGCTGTGCTTGTGTTGTCAGTTATCCCAGTGCCAGGACTGGGTGGTGGATCCATAAATCCCTGACCTTTTGGTCCCTTGCACTATTTTGTACTATTCTTTCTTCTTTTTATTTATTTTTTTTTTCTAGGGGGGAGGAGGTAGGAAACAGGGTTGACATGTAGAAATCTTCTGATACCTTTTGAGTCCACGAGTGCACCTACACTACTGTTGCAGTCCAGCTCCGGAATGACTTTTTGGAGCAAATTTCCTGATTATTCCTACTCACCACATTTCATCTTGCAGGGGATGCCCTCCAAAAAGATACCTAATACATCCCACCTATTAATGCACAATGAGTGTGAGGAAGCCAAGCTGGTACAGGAATAATTTTCAAGTATATAAAGTTTGACAGAAAAGAAACAAAAAACAATGTGGAGGGACCCCAGTTAGGGGTGGGACGTGGTGCAATGTCCTACTTTGTTGTTGTTATTTTGGCTTTTAAAAACCTTGGAGACGTAACAACAAAGTGTTTGTTAAGGTAATGCTGGTGGCAAAGCCAGGGATGGGGAAGTCAAGGAATACCAGAATTAAAATCAGTCATGTGACCCTGTTTTTGAGGATGAGGAGAATGACCCTAGATGAGGGCAGGGAGAGTTGTCCCCCAGTCATGCTGTTCACTGCAGGAAATGGGTGTCCCCAGCAAGTGGCAGTGTGATCAGAGCTAGAGAGGAGTCCCAACTATCACACCCTAGTCTTGAACTCTGGGACTGTCCCACTGAATTCCTTGACTTCGGGCTGTGTGACCCCTGCAGTGTGACTGTATTTTTGTGCTCCCGCGCTTTTCCTCTGACAGGTACTGAGTGACTGCCATTTTCTCATACTGAGATCTTTCAGGTGGAGTCCTCAATGACTGGTCTCGCATCACTATGAACCCCAAGGTGTTTAAGCTGCATGCCCGCAGTGGGGAGCTGGAGGTACTGGTGGACGGCACATACTTCATCTATAGTCAGGTAGAAGTGAGTACGGTCCTAGGCTAACTCCTATACTTGTGTTCCAATGGAAGCCTTGCATGAACCACGAGAGGGCTCCAGACAACTACCAAATGCCAACAGCTTGTGTGTCCTTGTAACCGCTTCAGCTCCGGGGTGTGCTCGGGAGGACGTGGTTTCACACACGTTTTGCTGTGACACCGCCCTCAAGAGATTGGTTATCCCCGCCCACCAGTGCCCTTTGCTCATCCTCCAGTTCTCTGTGCAGTCACTTGCCAGCCCTCCCAAACCTCCCTGCAGAGAGGACACTGCGCTCTGTGCTTTAAAAGAAATGTAGGGCCCAACCCCAGGCAGTTCGGAGTCATTTCGAAGCCACGTCGCTCTCTGCAAACACAGGGCTCTTGGCCCAGGTGGTTTGGCCAAACTCCAGCCCAGGTAACTCCCCCTCTCCCGTGTGGCCTCATCCCACACGATGCACCAGCAGCGGGATGGCTCCGCTGCCGCCTTGGTTGGTGCCAACGATGGATGTCCCCACCTGCTTCTGCAGAAAGGGCTAAACAAAGAGAGAAACTGCTGTGTTCTGATAGAGTGTGCAGCTAATAAGGCATCATTTCCTCTCCCCGTTCAAATCCAAAGCAGGATAAGGATTGTCATTTAACACGCTGCTCCCAGTGCCCCACAGATCTCCGATGGGAATCGCTGAGCCGGGTGGAGTGTGAGCCATGGGCTCTCCCCTGCCAGGGCACTCAGGTGTCCACCCACCCGTGGGCTGAAAAACTGATTCTGGGGCAGACGTTAGCAAGCCAGGAGGGTTTCTGTGTGGCAACTACAGCTGAGCAAATTCCACCTTCCTCCATGTTTCTAATATCACTCCTGTTCAGTTGGCAGCTCCACTGGGACTTTACCAAGTCAGATAAAGTGGGCTGTGGATGTCAGATGCTCTTCCATGGAACTGGTGATGTGTCTGATTTGGATGGGGACAGGAAAAATAACTCCACACTGGCCAAAGTATAATTGTTTTGCAATTAGCCTAATGCTAATTGCTGCCACAGTGTTTGGCCTCTGAAGCCTTGTCATTTGTGGTCCATCAAGGAAAACAGGGATCCAGTCTTGTGAAGTTCCCGAGGTCACAGCATGTAGACTAGGAAGAATTAGCAGATTCCTCCAAAGTGGTTGGATTTCCTCTCTCAGGAAGGAGCAGTTCCCTGGGACTGACTTCTCCTTGGACAGGTCTTCCTCATGCAGTTCTTTGGAATCAGTTGGAAGAGGGTTAAGTAAGGAACAGTCGAGTCACAGGGACTTGGTTACTAGACCCAGAAGTTAAACCAGTAGGAACACTGTAGGGTGATTTCCTTCCAAGCTGTGGAAGTTGGGAGAGCGCTTTCCCTGGAATAGCTTGTGCCTCTGGAAGCACCTCGAGTCCAGTTACCCAGGAGGCAGCTCCCAGTACACCTTAGGGCAGTTCTGCTGTCACCACTAAAGGAGGCTCATGGGACTGGGAAGCAGGACTGGCCAGGTAAGTGCAAGAGGCCTTCAGTCAAATGTGTCTGTCTGTCTGTGGGATGAGAAGCTGTTTGTAGCACACAGGGTGCTCTGCACAGCTCTGCACTGGGGCCTGTGCAAGTCATTTTCCCTGTAATAAGCAGGATTTGTAGCTCAGCCTTAGACACATGGATTAATGGATTCTTGCATGCTTAGTCTGAAGCGGAATACAAGAGTTTCCTGGTTGGCTTGGGGTTCTTCTGCCTCACACAAGCCAACCTCCTCTGAGCACAGGTGTGCTGGAGCCAAGGAGGGGCTCGTTAGCCAGGGAACACCGAGAGGAATGTGGACTTGCTCCCCGTGCACCAGTCCCCTCCCTAACACCTTTCTTCTCCCTGCTTCACATCAGGTATACTACATAAACTTCACAGATTTTGCCAGCTATGAGGTGGTGGTGGATGAAAAGCCCTTTCTGCAATGCACTCGGAGTATTGAGACCGGCAAGACCAACTTCAATACCTGCTACACGGCCGGGGTCTGCCTCCTTAAGGCCAGGCAGAAGATCGCTGTGAAAATGGTCCATGCTGACATCTCCATCAACATGAGCAAGCACACAACTTTCTTTGGGGCCATACGCCTGGGAGATGCACCAGCATCCTAGAGGAACTTGGCATGGCCAAGGATGCTCACAGAACTGCACAGTGCTGCTGTTCATAAGCGTATCAGTATTTCAGGGGGTTCTGTAATCCGGCCGTAAAGAAAACTGATCCAGAGCTATTTATTCCTATATGTGAATGCAGGAAGCACAATTGTCCTCTGTGACTTGCGTGGAGACTTGGATCAAAAAAAAAAAAGAAAAAAAAAAAAAAGCTGGTTGCAAAAGCATTGTGAGAAAGAAAGGCTGTTGTGTCTGCCTTGTCTCAGTATTTCAAGTATTACTGCACTGATACTCCGCTCTGTGATCTTCACACGAGGCTTGTCGGGAGAGCTGTGGGTCTCTGCTTTTATGTTGCACTAGCAAGAGCATCCCAGGCGGTAGCGGGAGCAGACAGACTCCCGTCCCAATTGTCCCAGCCAGGCACTCCTGCTTCTGCACGCTAACCAGAGCAAGGAAGGGGGCTGCTGGTTTCCTGCCTTCCCAGTGGGAACTGGAACGGCCGCGGGTGCGGAGGGAGGTGGGTGAGGCAGGGTCGTGGTGTTTACATTCATCCTCAGGAGCGTGGGCGAGGAAGGCGAGGAAGTGCCTCTTCCCAGAGCTTGGAAGCAAAAGCAGGAAGTGCAAGAGGAAGAGGAATCCTTACTAGAGCAGGCTTAGCAGATAGGAAACTGCCTCCACATTCCAGAAACCACCAAATCCCAAAGAAAACGCCGGTTCCCGGGTCCAGGCCTCTGCTCCTTTCAGTTCCTGCCCTTACCCCAGAGGTAACTTTGCCCCGCCGGGGGCTGCCTTAAAGTACTGCTGCTGTTACAGCACGTTCTGTTTGGTTGGGGGTATTTTGTTTTGGGGGGATTTTTTTTTGGTTTTTGTTTTGTCCTTTTTAATTAATATTTTGCAAACCAGAACACATTTCTACAGGCTTCACTGAGCCGCGTAGAGCAGACACAAGTACTTGTGAGAACACTCGGAGGAAGTTTGTCATGTTTAAGAATAAAATATTCAATCAGGAAATTTATTTCTTTTTCTGTTTTAATAGCAACTGTCCTGCTTTTAGATGTAGTTTTTAGCCTTCCTCCCCCCCACCCCTTTCTTCTTGGCACCCTTCTACCTTAAATAAGTGGTGATGGAGTCTCTAGCAAAGAAAAAAAATAATTGTGTTTTAAAATCTGGTCCAGCATGAAGTCACCACTTTTTCTTTTCTCTGAGCCCTGCTGAGTCTAGTCATAACTCGATTTCTGGTGACTAATAGAAGAGCTGGGACACTATTGTTTCTTTTGGCTTCTTGAGCAACTCTCTCCCGTTACCTCCCCTCAGCTGGGGAGACCTAAAGCCATAAGATGTGCTGGAGCTGAGGAGAGGCCGAAGCGCAAATTGCTCTGTTGTGTCAGCCCTTGGCTCGCACTCCTCTGGGTTGGGGTTTTGTTTCCCTGCATTTCTTTTCAGAGCCTGTTTTTGCTTTCAAGAGGGGAGTGAAGTGGCAGCCTGTTGTAGCAAATGAGACAAGTCCCAAACTGGCTTCTTCAGCCTGGAGAAGGAAAGGTTTTGGGGAGACCTCAGAGCCCCCTCCAGTGCCTAAAGGGGCTCCGAGAGAGCTGGAGAGGGACTCTGGACAAGGGGTGGAGTGACAGGACAAGGGGGAATGGCTTCCCACTGCCAGAGGGCAGGGTCAGATGGGATACAGGGAAGGAATCCTTCCCTGTGAGGGTGGGGAGGCCCTGGCACAGGTTGCCCAGAGAAGCTGTGGCTGCCCCATCCCTGGAAGTGTCCAAGGCCAGGTTGGACGGGGCTTGGAGGAACCTGGGCTAGTGGAAGGTGTCCCTGCCCATGGCAGGGGGTGGAATGAGTTGATCTTTAAGGTACCTCCCAACTCAGCCATCCCGTGATTCCGTGATCTCAGTGATGGCTCCACCTCCATGCAGAGGTGGCTCAGCCCTGGTCACCTGCAGGGACATGTCTGGGACATGTCCCAGCACTGCTGTGGCCACGGGAGTGTCCGCCCTGCCTGAAGCATTCCTGGCTCCATCACTTTTCCGTAGTGAGTGATCTCCCTTGCCAAGTGTTGCAGTTATTGGGAGATAAATATTCCTCAGGGGCTCTGGCGTTGGCCGCGGCCTCGCTATTCACAGGGGCCCTGCAGTTTGTAAAACAACTGCATGACAAATGGGCTGCTCTTGCTTTTTAGTGGGTTGTCCTCCCTTCAGCCTCAACATGTAGGACTGGCAAGAGCCTTGAGGGCTCTTCTCTGGGCTTTGTGGTTTATTTCCTTTAAAATGGATTAAGAAGGACATGTTCCCCTGACAAGAATGAAGGGGGACAACTGTATGTAGTGAGAACATTAAGCAAATCGTTAACAGAATTGCTTTAGAACAGGCCTGAGCAGCAAGGCTGGGGGCAGGCATAAATAACAGGGGCTTTGGGAGAGCTGTGGATGGAGTTTGCATTCTTAGTCCCCCACTGGCAGGATCTGAGATGTGCTCCATGGCTGCTGGCAGGGGGAGGCAGAGGGAGAATCCCTTCTCTCCATAAAAGCCCTGCGCCACTGTCCCCTCTCTGGTGTGTGCCTGGGATGCAGGAGGAGAGCAGGAGGGAGTGATTCCTGCATGGAATGTGTTAACAGGCTTTTTCTCATGCTCACTACATCGAAGTGGGAGCTCAGTGTAGCCGAGTTGGAGAGCAGAGAACTGCTGACTGCAGGTGGCCTTGGCAAGTAAAGCTCCTTCCTGCTCTTGGTGTTCCCGGAGAGATGTCCTTCACTGGCCACACCAGGAGTTTCCATGGAAGGTCTGTACAGCCACAGCAGAGTGTTGGCTGTGCTTGTGTGACGGGACAGGAAAGGTGAAGCATCTCCATCCTTTGGGGGTGTGAGAGGCACCGTCCCCTCGTTGGGCTCAGAGCTGCTCAGGATTCACCTTCCTGCTCTCGGCATCAGGGGAATGCACGGAAAGAAGCCCGGATCCGATGGCCTTGGATAACCAGGTACCTTCCTGCCCCCAAAATGCCCAGGCTGGGAGCATCTGTCACCCACGGCTGTGACGTGGGCCGGGGGATTTATCCTCTCTTCCTCCACACCCATGTCCTGCTGCTCAATCCTCACATCCTTTGGAGACCTGTCCTGTGAAAGCCTCAGGGGGAACAGACCCCTCTGGAGCCCTGGGAGCCAGCGTGGAGGGCAGGAAGGACAAGAAGCATAGGATACCCTGGGGTTTCAGGAGCAGGTCTCTCCCTGTTTGTTCTGTGAGGTTCGCTTTGCCTTTATCACAATCCCAGAAAAGCCCCTCAGTGTTTGCCGGTGCCTCAGCCGGCTCTTGTCCACACCCAGTGCTCCTGCAAAGGGAGTTCACAGCCCTGGGATGTGAGTGCCCAGGGATTCTCCGCAGAATCAGGGACTTTTCAGCTGGTGCCATGGGCCGTGCAGACCCACGTCCAGCAACTGGGGGTGCAGGGGGAGCAGCCGGGCTTCCCCAGGCAGTGCTGGGGCCGGGTGCACCAGGGCTGGAGCAGTGGCCAGTTCCTCTTTTGGGGCTCCACATTCACTGCTGGTGGGAGAGGAGATGAGGGCCGAGGGTTCATCCAGAGGTCGGTGTTTCCCTGGCAGGGTCTCACATCTGCACAGATGTGCTGTGTGCTCACAGCTGCCTCGGCCCAGGACACGAGCCCTGGCCTTGGGGGGCTGTCACCCCGTCCTGCCTGCTGGAGACCTTGGTCCTGCTCAAGGCTCAGCCACATCCTAACATGACAAAGCTCGGAGGGTGAAGGGCAGCCACAGCAGAAGCCAGGATGCTGCTTCTTCCAGATATGTACGCTTAGTTACATAAACATATTATCTGTGTTTATTTATTTATGTGGTTTATGTCTATATAATAGTTTTTTTCCTACCAGACACCTCTAGGACTAGAGCACGAGCTCCACAGCTGAAACTCCACATCCCTGGGTAACCCCTCGACAGCCTGGAGCTGCTCCTTCAGATGGAATTGGCCACACTGGGCCAAAAACCCCAAAACTGTGCATTTTGGAGAACACCCCGTGAAGCACAAGGAGTACATTCCCAGGGAGTGTATCAGCACTAGGTGGCACAGGGACACAGACATGCCACCATAAAAAAGTCCCTGTGTGTGGGGTGCAGCTCTGGGTGCCCAGATCCCACCTGGAGCTGCCACAGGGACAGTTCCCATCTGGTTCCTGCCCTCGGTGAGGGGGGGACCCGGCAGCCGTCCTGGTGGGGACATGAGGAGCACTGGCAGCACAGCAGACTCTGGGGAGGAAGAGGAGGATGAGGGGGATGCCAGCTCTGCACATCCCGCTGGGAAGCTGAACCCCAGGGAGCCGTTGTCTCCCGAGGAGGGGCAGGTGCTGCAGGAGAGTCCCCCGGGCTGGGCTGTGGCGGCTGGGGAGGGGAATTTCTCGGTGTGACGGGCTCACCTGCGGCCCGGGGCTGCCGGGAATCCCACGGTGACGCCCAATGGCCACAGCCAGGAGCTCAGTGCCTGGCTCAGGATGGCCACGGAGCCCTCGCTGGCTGCTCCCGGTGCCCTCGGCACCAGCTGCCCGACAGGAGCTGGCACAGGGCACAGCCTGTCCCTGGCACAGGGAAGCTGCTCGGGGGAACTCCCCCAAACCCGCTCGGCTCTCCCAAGTGCCACTTCTGCCTCCTGGCGTTTGATGTCACGCTCGGTCACCCCGATCACCTGAGCACCCTCCTCCCATCCCGCCGTTTCTCTTTCCCTTCCCTGCAGTGCTTTCTGCACTGTTTTTCCCCCTCTTCAGGCTTATGTCTTTCTTTTCCCACTTCCGTAGCTACGAACACCCACATGCCTTATCTCCTTCCCCCATCCCATCCTGAAGCCTATTTATACAGAGCCTGGCTCCTGCCCAGCTTGCCGGAGAGCGCCGGAGGAGCGGGACGGGGCTGGCAGCGCCCGCAGCCCAACATGCTCTTGGCTGAAAGGGGATATTTGCTGCTCTGGCTGCTCCCATCCATCCTCAGAGCCCGGTCTAGCACGGATTCGAGGCCCAGGTCCATGCCCTGCCAGCAGGTAAGGCTGTTTTCCCAGGAGCACCTGGGCTGGTATGGCTCCAGCAGCATCGCTGGGGCTGTGAGCATCCCTCTGGGTCTCCTCCCCATGGCTCTCACCTCCCTCCATCTCTTTAACCTTCCCAGCCTCTCCTCTTTTCCTATCTGCGAACCAGTCTCCTGTGAGGTGATCCCAGCATCCAGCTGTTACCATGTCCCTGCTGTGCCCAAGATGCTCAAAGGCAGGATGGAGCACAGGGATTCCAACAGCTACCATCAATGTTAGAAAGGCATTTGGGAGCCTGGATGGGGAACAGCTGGTTTCTGTCCCCCCCAGAGAGAAATCAGCTGCTCCCCATCCAGGCTTCCAACTCCAGAGGAAACCAGTTTGGAGCGAGAGGGAAGGTAGAGCCCACCACAGCACTTTGCCTAAACAGGGATGCTCTGAACCAACTGGGCATGGGAAGAGGGAACAGTCTCATTTCCACTTGCTCATTCCCATCTTGGACAGCAGCTGGCTTGGCTGGAGCTGTGGTTTGTAGCCCCCCCTCGTGCTCACAGCTCTCCTGTCTTTCCACAGAGCCCCACAAAGGTGTCCTGCAAAGGAGTCGGCCTGCAGAAGTTTCCCAAGGAGCTTGGCCAAGGAATTAAGCACCTTGAACTCTCCAACAACTTCATCCGAAACCTGTCAGACGGCTACATTCCAGGATTTGGGCAGCTGGAGTACCTGGATATGTGCTTCAACCAGCTGGAAGCCGTGTCAGCCACCACCCTGGCTCAGCTGCCCCAGCTGCGCTCGCTCCTCCTGGGATCAAACCACCTGGACCGGAATTTCTTGGCTAATGGGGAAGCCTTCCATCTGCTCAGGAATATAGAGGTCCTGGACCTGTCAGGGAATAACCTGGAGAGCCACATGGCAGGCTGGTACATCAGCAACCTCACCAGCCTCAGGGTGCTGGATCTCTCCAGGAACAAGATGACCAAGCTGCTGGCAGGGACCTTCC